GTTTTGAAAACAATGATCTTTACATGAATCAGAAGAAAATTATGATTCTTACTAGGATCTTGGTTCTGTTCCTTGGTTAAGTTTTTAGTGGCTTAAGTGTTACGACCAGATTCTAGCTAAATTCCTCAGCTTTACAATGTTTAGAGGAGAATTACTGAGGCTTGCCAGTGCTCAGGTCTGCACACATAGCATCTATCACCGCTATTCAGGCACAAACTGGTTGCGGAAGATGATTTTGTTCTCTTTATTCCTTAAGACAAAAATACCCTCTCACACATTAGGATCCCAGCATAATATTATAAAACTATAATACACTGTAAAGCTTACCACACAGTGCTCAATTCCCTTTGCTGCAAAGGCAAAATTCTATTTTAAACTTATCTTGGCAAAACCAACAAAATATTTATATAGAGCAACTTCCCTTTGACAAACCAACCTGAAGAAATAGCTCGACAAAGCTCAAGCTACTGCTTTAATGAAGATTTTTGCTAGATGAAACTCCCACCTAAAATGAATGGCTCATTCAAGACAAGGGATCTGTAAACACACCTAACTTGCTTTGAAACCGCCTTACAGCCTTGAAACTATTTCGACTGGCATGCTGATAATCACATTAAAAGATTGCATATGCCTGATCTTGATTCATAAATAATGCTCATTCCTTTAACCAGTAAGTTATTTCAAGATATTTTCTGGAGAATGACATTTTTAATTTTAAACATTTCTGAAAATTTAGATGTACAAAATCAAAGATTCACCATGAGGTTCCTCTAAACGGCAAGCTTTCAATAGCATTTAATGTTTAACTTGAAACACTTAAAAGGAGATGACATCATTTATATGAAATGAAATGACCAGAACAGGGAAACCTATAGAGATAAAATTTCAATTAGTAGTTGCTTAGGGCTGGCAGGAAGGAAAGGATAGGGAGAAGAAAGCTAATGGTACAGGATTTCTTCTGGAAGTGATAAAAATGTTCTAAAACTGACTACGGCAATGGTTGTATGACTCTGTGAATACACTAAAAACCACTGAATTGTAAAACTCAGATGAGTGGTTTATATAGACTGTGAGTTGTATCTCAATGAAGTTCTGAAAAATATTTAAAATGAGGTATGATTGTACACCTCAGAAAAAAGGTATCTTGTTAAGTGGACATATACATAATCCTACATATGTATATATACCTTGCAATAGTCCATTAATCACTACTCATTTCCTGAGGAAAAAGAATATTATTGTCTTCACAGTTAAGGCCCTAGAAAATCAATGCCTAGGAGAAAAAGACAATGTCATATTTCCCCATAATTTTGACAATCTAAATTCACTGGCTTCAATAATAGTAAACTTCAACCTACAATTCAGATCAAACATTGGTGTTATTTTTAGTGTCAAGAACAAGGGTCAGTTTGACAGAGAAATACATTTACATGGTGCAGACTCTCCCAGAATTTCAAGGAGTTGCTTGAAATTTGGAGTCACTGGGTCTGGCATTCCTTGGGGTGTGGGGGTGGGTATCAAGGCCATAGTCAACTCCCGTGTGACCTCCTCACTCCTATTCACCAGGCTCAGATTCTTTCGGATGCAACAGTCCAAGTGCAATCCTAGGCCATCAGTCCCTGTCCTGAATCACATCACTTGGCCCTTCACCGACCTGCCCCAACCCCCAGCAACCACATCCCTCCACACAAGCTCCGATCCTTTTCCTGAAGTCAGAAGGCCAGATGCCTACGAAAACAGTCACTAAGCAGATGCCACACTGAAGTTCAATGCCAGAAAGGACCTAGGGTGGGGAGGCAGGTGAAAGAACTCTGCTCGGGCAGGGCCAGCCTCCTGGGGTGGACAACATCCAAACACAGCAGACATCCCTGACTCCATGGACCAGCATGAGCCTCATCTGCCCCACATGGTGCCTTCTTTTTTAAAAGCAAGCAATCTGGGATAAACACTCCTGCTCCGGTCCCCAAAAAAAAGTCATTAGCCTTTTCTCAGGAAAAATTATATTAAGAAAAAGAAATCCTTTATCTACTCCCTTTTATGAAAACAGTTCCTTGAATAGCTTTATCAGTTTACAGCAAAACATCCATGGCCAAGATAAAGAGCCTTTTTTATTTTTGAGAAAAAAAATCAATAGTTTTATAAAACTTCACATCAGCAATATTGAGGTGCTAAATTAATGTGGCTCAAGGTTTTGCAAGAACCCAGAAGCTTTTTAATCAATTCCTTAATGAACAAGTCACATTGCCATTAGTGAGTCTTATTTAAATACACAGTTGAAGTGAAGCATAGGGCATTTTAAAGAACAGCAAGGAACACATATTTATTTTGTAGACCTTATCCAGTGCATTCTGAAACTTATGCTCACAATATAAGTCATGAATTCAGAAACTGCATGAACTTTAATATTCAATATGATGTATTTCAACTAACTCAATACACACCAATATACAACTTTAAATAAAGACAATAATTGGCATCTACATCTACCTCTATTATTCCTAGCCAACTCACTGTATATTCCCATACTTATTCCTTCTCTCCCCCAAGAAAGTACAAATAAAACTGCCCAACAGGTAGCCACTTGAAATCTCTGTGACTGACAATAAAATTCAGCTTCAAAAGTCAGCCTTGCCTATTGATCACAGATCAGGTAATGTGGCCGCATTACTAAGGCTCTTAAAAATCTTCACTTTCCCTGTAAACTAGAGAATTTAGACGATAACCAAGACTCCTGTTTCATTCTCCCAGCTTTACGCATGCACAAATGGATACCCAAGTTGAAGAAAATAGGAACTAAGCAAAAATTTGAAGACATCCTAAAGTTTAAAAAGAAGAGTTATTCTTCAATTCCTTATCCATATACAATACAGATATTTTTGCCTCACCATTTACTGCTTCAAGTATATAGTAAAGTAGTATATGTAAATACCTTGTGGAAGAACCTGAAAATCAAGTAAACAAAGAAAAAACAAGTACCTACATTTTAAAGTATTTTTTCTTTTTAAAAGTAATTCAAAAGAAGCACATATGAAAAGTTACGGAAAAAATGGGACTATATTAGCATAGCAGGATTCCAAATAATTTTAAGTATATTCATAGAGTTGTGCAGCCATCACCCCAAAATGAAACCCCATTACATTAGCAACCAATCCCCATTTCCCAACCTCTTCCACCCTCCCCAGCCCTAGCAAGCACTAATCTATCTTATGTCTCCATAGATTTGCCTCTTCTGGACATTTCATATAAATGGAATCATATAATATGAGGCCTATTGTTAACTGGCTTCTTTCACTTAGTGTGTTTCCAGGCTTCACCCACGTTCTGGTTCTATCAGTACTTCCTTCCTTTTTATGGCCAAATAATATTCTATTGTATGGGTACACCACCTTTATTTATTCATTCATCAGTTCATAGAAATTTAGATTGTTTCCACTTTTTGGCTGCAATAATGCTGCTATGAACATCTGTGTACAAGTTTTTGTGTAGATGTGTTTTCTCTCACTCATCTTGGGTAGATACATCTAGGAGTAGAATTGCTGGTCATACGGTAATTTTACATTTAATCTTTTGAGGAACTGCCAAAGTGTCTTCCAAAGCAGCTGCACCACTTTTCACTCCCATCAGCAGTTTATGAGGGTTCTAATCTCTCCACACCCTCACCAATATCCAGCACTTGCTACTATCTTTTTTATTAGAGCCATCGTAGTATGTGAAGCAGCTACTCACTGTGATTGATGCTCTGTATCTTAAACCAAGCCCACTCATTCTTGAATGGGACCTCAGCTACTCTAAGCTATACTTTTAAATATAAAATATCCCCCAATGGTCACTCTTAAAACCCAAAATAAACCTATGATAATCTAACCCTCCCTTAATAAATGAGGTTATCACCTCCACATTATATGCACCATTATTCTACCCCAAATCTTATCAAGCTACGATAATACCCAACAGCCAAACCTTTTAAAGTGAAGAAGTCACACTAAGCAGCCTGTACAAGTGCTAATGCTGTAGGGGAAGACTTCAACACACAACAGTGTAGTTATAGCCAGAGTTTTCAAGTAAGAACACTGGATAGGAGTTCAGGTTCGTCAATAATCTATGCGTAACCTTAACTTTTCTACACCTGAGCATGGTGCTCTGAACCACTCACAGAATTCCATCCTCTGAAGTCACTCCCATAAAGTTGTCTAAGCCTGAAAGTTTAATGAAATGTGTAAGCTCACTAACACCCGTTCCTAAAGATCTAGCCTTACACAGCAGAAAGAATTTGAGCTTAGTAGTCAGGCAAGATGTGTTCTCTCTCCAGTTCTGCCATTCAGTAGCTACACGCCCATACGTACATTATTTAACATCTTTATATCTCAGTTCCTGATCTGGAGATAATAACACCTTCTTCAAGGGGAGAGGTTATAGGAATTCCTTAATCAAGTCGATCTAAAGCACCTGACACAATAACCAGCAAAAAGCTGACACAAATGTAAGCTTCCACCCATCTTTCTGCTAACTCTGGGCAAAGTTTCCCGGCAAACAAAGCCCTCATAACAAATGTCATGCGCCATTTAGTGTGGAATGCCAGTCCTTGTGACCTGTAGGAATCCTTTATAAAGCACTTCCCCCACATTAGGGTCTGCAAATAGCTAAGGAGAGTTATCAATTGACTTAAAACAGGACAAGGGGGGAATTCTTGGAAGGGAGCCCAGGGATGAAAAGATGAGACCTCATTTTTGTCAGGGACATAAGCATAAAACTTCCCCAGGGCCCACAGAATGCCTGAGCACAGAACAGATGCGAAGGGGGACAGGTAAAGGCTATACTCCCATGACCCCCCTGAAGCGCAGGGACAGCGCCTGGCTCTAGGCAGAGGGGGCGGGGAAGGCGCTGGAGGAGGCCATCGGGTGGTGGGGGCTGGCAAGGTGCACGGAAAAGCTAAGGGGAGGGAGCCAAGCACCCTTACAGTGGTGAATGGGCCGTTCCTGCACATCGCCGCCTTCTCCTACCTGATGTGGTTGTCACGGAATTTGTTGAGATGCGGCTGGTTGAGGTAAATGGTGCGGGCTGGTGCGTCCAGCGGGTCTCCAACAGACGTGGCCCGGGACATCTCATCATCTGCCTTCTTATAGCCCGAAGAAGGACGAACAGGTCCTGCGGGGAAGAGGCACGGGCCGAGAACAAAACACAAAAGAAGTCACACCCGGCGAGCAGCAGCGAGCACGGCAGCCGGCGGGCGGGGAGCGGCCGGGAAAGGATGCTCGGGCGCTGCCGGGTGCGCCTATGTACCTTGGCTGCCCCCGGAGACCCGCCGCGGTGGCTGCTGCGGCTCCTCCCCGCCCCCTCCTGCTCCAGCCCCGGCGGCGGGTCCCCAGGGCGCAGAGGGCAGCAGGCACGCTCGCCTG